GCAAAGATCACCGATTTAAACTTAACCCGGTGTAATACCTTATTCACGTTTTGATAAGAGCCATTTTAGGACCAGAGGGCCGTCTTTTGATTCCATACCAAGACGCGGCCAAGATCCTAAGCAATTTGTCGGACTTGCTCGAGTGATATTTCATGATTTCTAATTTGTCAACATGGCGCACTTAGAGCACCGTGCCACCCTGGAACCCGGTCAAGAACCACCGAACCAGCCAAGGAGAACAAACCAGAACCCACCACATGAGTCCCCCACATGAGCACCCCCCCCGACCGACATCGCTGCTTAAGCTTACTTGCGAGTTTTAAAAAGTATCAGGACACCATGGCTCTGAAGATTGGTGCTTTTCGTGGACCTTTTTATTGAAACGCCCGGATAATTATTTCATGGTAACTCTTGAGTGCTATATACTCTACAACGTGGTGCCCGGCCTTTGACTGTTATCTTCTAGAAGCCTTGGTATAACCTTGGCAGAACAACGGCAAACAAATATGTTTCCTTGCAAACAGCACGGGAGCTAAGACCGACATTTTAAATATCCTGGCTAGGATACCTATAATACATCGACTGGTTCGATCGTGGCTAGGCGAGTACATATCAAATGCATAGGGTCCACTTCTTTGGAAGATTATAAGGCTTCCAACACATTAGCTCGGGAACTTTTGAAAGTCTAAATAATCCAGACACTGTATAACTTATTGACTTTAGCTTATCTGTTTTAGAGAAGATTCCTCACTATTGAGATTTTAGTTCGGAGAAACCTTGTATATGTATGATGTAACTAACTCTATGCTCTTGTTCTGTAATACCCCAATTACCCAGCATCGCAAGTCGCCGTATTGGAACTGGGCCCTGTTGCTGGCATCGCGTCTGAAGGAACTTCAACATCCAATCCGGAGCCGTAAGAACTCCAATAGGGGATTTCGCGATCGAGAACTCAGGGTTTCTCACCTTGCGAGAGCATAGTTTACTACGGCAGTGGGCAGATTGGAGAAAGTGGGATCCCGTAGGTATCACAAAAAGTTGTGATAAAAATATATCAGGTCGTGTGTAGTTTGATGATAGCATCTGGTGTACACGAACTAAATAACTGATCGAAGGTATATGTTAGAATAAACCCCTCCACACTTCCAAAGTCTACAGAGCTACTCATTTCATATATCTTAAACCACACCGATCAAACCAAACTCTAAGGGAGCTTAAATAATCTATAGAAGAAAAAACGGCATTCTCGAGGTCTCTGCCCCTCTCCGTCGTGGCCTAGAAGAAACGATGAGCGCTCTAAGTACGCCCTTGCTTACCCCCGTCAAAGAAGGTTGGTGTCTCCCGGCCTAGCCCACGGAATTTTTAGCGTCTGCTAAAACTGGCTATCCATCCCTTTCTATCGTAACCATCCTACCAGTAGATGGAATATGAACTCTGATCTGTAGCCTGCTAATAACAACAACCTAAATAATCCCGATCCCGAAACCTCCCTAATAGTTGGACCTCACAATAGGACATTGGGGTTGCTGGGTAGATAGAGCCACAAGCTGCCCGGACCCCCCCCCACTCAGACAGATGCTGATTAGTTTACAAATAATTCATATCCTTGTTTGACATATATATATAAAAGAGACGTTATCAGGAGAGCCGACTGACCGGTCTAGAGAGATTATCAACTATTTTTGTTTTTACGGTACCGCTGGATACCATCTCCCAGGAAATATGTGCCGAGAACTTTTGAATCAACACTACGAGTATTGGGAATTAATTTGCTTACATAATATATATAAAATACTGTGTTAGTAGTTATGATAACCTCGATCGAGACCTTACATGGGTAATTCTCCGCGAATACTGCTCTTGTTGAAAATTAGAAAAGATAAGACCGGGGAGGAATATCCTCCAAGCACGTCTATGAAGCCACACACTCCTAAAGATGCGGTCATGGTTGGAAACTCTCGAAAGCTCCCACCGCGTAGAGTTAGTTTCTATTTTTTAGTGATTTCAAGTGGTGGGCGCCATACGATCGAAAAAGTGAAATCTCTACAGAGAATCACCTTCCCTTTGGCCTATTATAAAACCATGGCGAGGGTTTTGGAGAATAAAGCGAAAAATGGAAAGCAAATGCTCTCGATTGTTCTAATTATTATTATTATTTGATTTTCCAGTGAGAAAACCTCCTGTGTCCTGATCTGCTCTGGTTTAAAAGGGGTATGTATGCCTTGGGTGGGTTGCGCAAGGAATCCCACTGAAATTGCTAATATACAAAACTTTACCTCAATGACATTGTTCAGTTCCCCCCAAAGGGCTCAGGGAAATTTGGGGGAGAAAAATACCAGTAGGCTTTGATAGGTATCGTATGTTTTTGCGACGAAAGGTGTTACAACGTATCATACCCCCCTTCCATGTATTTGGAAGATCTCCTAGAATTTCCTTTCACTAACCAAATTGGGAGTCCGGAAAAACTCCAATCGGAAAGAGAAAGAAAAAAAACCACCTATGCTATCAACCGTGTGGAAGGATGAATTTATGAACAAGCATTCCAGTGAGGAATGTAAGCGCCGCCCAGGCCCGGGACATTCCCGCTCAACGGCTGCGGAAACAATAATTCCTGTCGGTATCGTAGCCGTACTGTTTCTGCGCGATTTTTCGGCCATGTTGGCGCACTTTTACCCCGGTATGCTGATACTATATAACTAACGCGATAGTGCATTATGCCTTGCAGGTATTATGTATGAGTATGGTCGCCAGAATTTCCGCGTTATAAGGGAAGAGGAGACTCTATTTATTTTGTGGTTTAAATCCAGTAAAGATATAAACCCTATCGTACATACCTCGTAGTACTGTGCTGCACTGCCCAAGCCTGCGCCAAAAAATAGCCACGGCAACAAGTCCACTATGCCTGTAGAAGTGCTTACGCGCGCGGAGCAAGCAATTGAAAATAAAAAAATTCACTTGGGAAAAACCACTCAATTCTTTTCCCTCGTACCAAGAACCTCCACATTTCCTCCGAGTATGCCCCCTCCATATTTACCCAACTGGTTTCCAGAACACGATGCGAGTGCCTGGGGTGGTCCAGCCACTATCGCTATATCCTGGGGCTCCCTGTTTTGACTCCGATAGTGTGGGCCGTCAGAGTGCTCCGCCTGGCAAAAGGTGGAGATGGCTTTGATACTGCATGAGTACAGTACTGTACAGTACATACGGAGGTGGAGAGAGGATTATTTCGCCATGAACCCTAGTTCAACCCCAATCACAATTCCAACCGTAAATAATCTGATGCTACCCATCTCGCATATCGCTCATTCACAGATATCTGGAGGACTTACTTCAATAAATTCACGTGATACCTTCGCGCCAAACTCAACCCCCCCCCGCTGCCGGGACTCTCCAACCTCCAGGGCAATTAGCTTCTTGTTCGACCGAGGCTACTTTAGACCATTGCTTCGAACCTCCTGTCAAGACGGAACTGAAGTTGCAAGGTATTAGGAATACCGGCAGGAGCGGTCTCCCGAATTTCCATCACACGTGTGCCAGGATAACCAGTATGGTTCGGGACACCACCGGTTCTCGTACAAATCAACACCTCCTCCGACCTCGGATATTACCAACTTCAAACCGAACAGCAACCTCCGCACCTAAGACACCCCGTAAATACGTTCAATTTATCACTCTCTAGAGATTGGCATAAGGAATTTTGAAAATATTTACTTGAGAGGAGCTAGGCTGATCTTGAGTTAATATGGGCCGGCCCAACTGGTGGGTAAGAGGCCAATGATAACAAGCGGGATCTTGGCATTGGTTTTCCCGATTAGGAAGCTAAAACGCATATTGCTATTGGAGTAAGAAATGATCAAACGCTTCGTAAGTTGACTTACGTTAACCCAATTCTTGATTTCCACCAAACTAATAGTTTAGCATCTCAACGACGTTTGTGCTACAGAAGGTGCTCTAAAAACCAGCGAGATTCTAAGTAGCCAGCTGCCAGCTGGGTAGGAACCTCACCACTACTACTTTTTTTCTCAACAAAGGTGGGATCACCAACACGGCGCTGCCTTCGCTGCACTGTTCTCTTCATGGCATCTGGTACTGCCTGTTTCTATGATTGCGGGAACCTTCTCCGATGCGGGAGTCCCAAGTGCCGGGCCTCCGCAAACATTCGGCACATTCCTTGCCAGATTACATCTCTGATCATCTTCCACTATAAAGAGCCTTGAAATTTCCCTTTTATTTATCAATCGTCCAAGTGAACCCTTCTGCGCCGCCACTATAGCTTGGGAGGGGGTTACTAATGTATACCATTACTAATATCTACTTTATCACCGTATGTTTCCCCCCCTCCAGACATATATAGCAGCTCGCTCACATGATTCATATAGGCTATTGCGGTGATAGGAGGTGCTTTGTTTGGTTTTGATATCTCGTCTATGTCTGCAATGTAGGTTTCATCCCCATACGACCCCCCCTTCGGGAAAGAGTTGTTACCGACAGTTAGAAGTATTGGCACCAAGCAATACAACTACTACGGACCTAACATTGCTTCCGATGTGCAAGGTGGAATCACCGCTGCTATTGTTGGAATATTGTCCCTGAGTTTCGATTTCATACCTACTATTGGTTTCCTATATGATCTTCACGAACTTTCTGTTATACCTTACTTGATGTCTGAAACTGTTATCACCCTGTTGTCTCCGTACTGTTTCCTCTCTATCTCCTTGCAGTGAAAATTTCTCTCTTGTTTCTTTTCTGTTTCCTTGTTGTTTCAAAGGGACAAGACTTTAGTCCCCTTACCGGAGATGAAAATTTTCATCCACACAGGCACCGGACAAGATGTAGATCATCTTGGGTTAAAAGGGCCTTGTTATCTACTTAGAAATGATATGCGAATTCTGACCTTTCAATCGTGCACCTAAGAAACTCTCCTGCTGGTTCTTATCCTTTATTCCTCCGTCTATACTTTTCTCTCCTCACATTCCAAACGATTTTATTTTACTTCAGCTATGCTTGGCGGTTCCTTCTGTGGCGCTCTCGTTTCCGGTTTTCTTTCCGACAGGATGGGTCGCAAGTACAGTATCCAGGTTGGAGCCCTGGTCTGGTGTCTGGGCTCCGTCTCTATCGGTGTCGCGAAAAGTATCCCCTTCCTTGTTCTGGGTCGTTTCATCAACGGCTTCGCGGTCAGGATCTGCTCAGCCCAAGTCCCCGTTTATATCTCCGAGATTGCTCGTGCCAACTTGCGTGGCCGTCTTGTTGGTTGCCAGCAATGGGCTATCACCTGGGGTATCATGATTATGTTCTACATTTCGTTCGGGTGTTCTCATATGAAGGGAACTGTTTCCTTCAGAGTCCCATGGGGATTACAGGCTGTTCCAGGTGTTATCCTATTCATTGGGCTGTTATTCCTGCCGAGATCGCCTAGATGGCTTGCGAGGAAGGACCGCTGGGAAGAGGCTGAGAACACCTTGGCTTTACTGCACGGAAATGGGGATGTTAACGACCCATACGTAAAGCAAGAGATGGAGGACATCAGGGCTATGGTCGAGTTTGAAAGGCGGAATACCGATGCCACATTCTTCGAATTGTTCAAGCCCCGTGTCATCAACCGCACCCATATCGGCATCTTTACGCAAATCTGGTCCCAGCTGACTGGAATGAATGTCATGATGTATTACATTGTGAGCTAGCTAATCCCACTAATTTATTAATTTGACTGACTCTTTCAGACCTACGTCTTTGCGATGGCCGGGCTGAGTGGAAACAACCTTCTCCTCTCCTCCTCTATCCAGTATGTCATTAACGTATTAATGACCGTCCCTGCTCTCCTCTGGATGGACCGCTGGGGCCGTCGTAAAACACTACTTATCGGTTCAAGTCTCATGATGACCTGGCTCTTCGCCAATGGCACTCTCATGGCATCCTATGACCATCCTGCCCCAGAAGGTGGAGTCGGCGGTATCAAAGCAGTGTCCTGGGAAGTTGGCGGGCCCCCATCCAAAGCGATCATCGCGTGTAGTTATCTATTCGTTGCGTCTTTCGCTATCACATGGGGCCCTACCTCCTGGACCTACCCTCCAGAACTCTTCCCTCTCCGCATTCGCGGAAAGGCTGTGGCCCTTTGCACATCTGCTAATTGGATTTTTAACTTTGCTTTGGGTTACTTCGTCCCGCCGGCCTTCGAGCACATCAGATGGAAGGTGTATATCCTGTTCGGGCTATTCTGCGCGATGATGACTGTCCATGTATTTTTCTGCTTCCCTGAAACGGCTGGGAAGGGCTTGGAGGAAATTGAGTCGATGTTCCAAGAGGGGCTCCCTGCCTGGAAAACACGTGTTGCTATGGAGCCTACCCCTGCGAGGCTGCATGGGCTTGACAACCCCGAAAAACCGCCATATGAGCAAGAGGGAGTGTGAGCAGAGGAGGTCAATTTCTTTTGCTTCATTTCCCTTTTTCCATTGAACGATCAAAGGCTAGATCTCGTTATTGGCCCTCTGTATATTTTAGTTTGCACCCCATTTCAGTGGGAATGACATTATGTGAATAAACATGGTCTGATCCAAGATCCCTTGTCGTGTAATTGTATGTTTACCATCTCTTTTGCCTGCTGTAACCTAATTGCTTATTTCGGTAACACCGCCGCCGATAAAGGCTACCCTATTATCTCGTCAAAATAGGTGCGAGCAACAAGCGGTCGAAGTGAAAGCTAGTGAACGGTCACAATAACTTTGGCTAACCCGAACAAAATAAAACCCGTCCGGTACGAAAACTGGTCCCCTGCAATCATAACTACATCTCTACGCTTGGCTCAGCTATCCACTTCAAGACAATGGCTTACTATCAAGCCGGGCACGAAAAAAGAAAGAAAGAAAAAGGAACAGGATGATTTTTGCAAACCTATTGTTAGTTTCGCATTTGGGTCGATCAATACCCGGCCAAGGCGGGACCCAATTTGTCGAGATTCCTATCATGTACCCTACATGTACCGCACTCGTGTAGTATAGCACGCCTTGCCAACAAGAAAAGCTCCTTCTCCCCTATATTTAGATATGAATATAAATGACCATTTATCCTATTTTTTGGACACCGCTTTTCACCTTCCCATTTGGGAGGATGATTACTCGTAGTATTGTAAAAGAACTGTTATTACATACCACCCGATCCAAGCAAAAGGGCCAATCTTTGGTGGGAAAATTTGCAATAGCAGTCTTTTTTTAAAAAAAGCCCTCGGCATTACGAGCACAGGGCAAGACACCGAGCAGGACCATTCTCAGAATCCCTCAATGCCGAGCATTGGAGGCTTCATGAGTTTGATTATCGACTTTTATCATAGGATCCGTCAAAACTATTGCTCCAAGTACCCGAAGGCACGAGAATTTCTGGTAGTAGATTGCAGTTTACAAAACTCACCTCCTTCCATAGTGGCACCTTGGTCTACAAGGCTAAGTATGAGAAGCAAATAATTTCTAACTCCTGACTGGGACTCCCAGTAACGTGTGACTGGTCTTGCACTACCTTCAGATACACCTCCTGGTTGGCCAGTTGTTGATATTCTCTACTCTTAGCCAATGTTGTACTGTACTTGTACAGTACAGGCTGACTCGGAGGCGGTTTAAACTGCTCTTCAATACTATATCAGTACTTTCAGACTGGCCTTGGCTATGTCTGTGAACTTCTACAGGGTGCTTGGCATGCTTTGCCCTCCTTGCAATCAACAGCAAAGTCTCCTCTTGCTTCTAGACACTTCTTGCCCGGAAAAAGTATTAATTCGGGTAGATAACCTTAGTTTAGACATAGAAAATCTCGAAACGAAAATGAAAAATGAAAAATGAACCCGAACACACATGAATAAAGAAAATTGGCAAATTGTCTATGCGTACCTGAGCGCCCATATCCCCAATTGAGATATCAACTTTTAGATTATTTATGCTGGAAACATATAATATCACGGACAACCCAGTTTACCTGCAGCAGGTTCCGAGTGACGAACTCCCTGTCTCTTTAGAGGCTCAAATGCCAAGCCACTTTCGTGTTACCGAAAACATGAAAACGTCAACGTCGCCAGAACGCTCCCTCTAAACCAAAATCTATCAGTAACAACAACAAAACAGCATTCACGATGGCCACAGTTCAGACCCAGACCATCCTTCGGGACCCGCAACTATTTTACTGGATTCTCTTCCCGATTACGGCTGTCATGGTTCTAACGGGTGTACTACGACACTACGCTACGGTGCTGATGCAGTCGGATCCTAAGAAGCAGGAGCTTAGCGCTATTTCTGAGCAGTAATTTTTCTCTCCCTCTTGTCTGGTGCATGTTCCTAACGATGGCAATCACAGGCGCAATTTACTTCGGGGGGTAAACCTTCGAACAAATCACAACCAGATCCCGCTTTCGTCGTTTATTGCGAGGAAAAATTACCTTGTTGCGGCGTACAATCGTGGGGACTTCCTGAAGGATCCGGAGAATAAGGGAAAGCCGCCGGCAAATCCAATGACGGATCCAGCTGGGATGGATCAGATGATGAATATGCTTAAGGGAAACATGGCAATGATGGTGCCGCAGACATTGATTATGGGATGGATTAACGCTTTCTTCTCAGGATTCGTAATAAGTACTCACTCACCCACCCCCAACTCCGTCCCTTGAAAACCTCGTTTGCTGATCTAGGTATCTCCTAGTGAAACTCCCCTTCCCCCTAACTCTCCGCTTCAAATCCATGCTCCAATCCGGCGTTGCCACGCGGGATCTCGACGTCCGATGGGTCTCCTCCCTCTCATGGTACTTCCTCAACCTCTTCGGCCTCCGTAGCATCTTCACCTTCATTCTCGGGAACGAGAACTCGGCCGACCAGATGACGCAGCAGATGCAGCAGATGAATCCTGCCAGTGGAAATGCCATGTTTGCACCGGGGCAGGACCCTAATAAGATGTTTTTGGCTGAGGCGGAAAATTTGGAAGTTGTTGGTGGACAGCATGAGTGGGTTCTTGATGGGGTTGTTGATAGATTACTTAAGAGTAGGGTTTAGATGATCTTGGGCGGAAGGGGGGGGTATTGGCAATGGTAATAGGACTTAGATATCATCAATGCATGCGTAATCTTTCGGTGTTTTAACTTTCGGGAGCGTTCAGATTGATTGCTATCTTATGGTGTCAATATCACACCCCTCTGGTTTACCGTTTATATCCCAAACAACCCATCCAGTGCTAGATTGACTAGCTTTTTCTGCCCCCGGCTGGAACACATTAGATTATCATACCAACCACCTAAAGTCAACATCACTACCATAAACCCACCTAAGCTCAATAGCCCATTAAAAACATCGACTAAAGGATACCGAATCTAATACCTTGCATGAGGCATCACCCCCACATCGCTTAACTACAATAGCTCCCATCTATTTATGATACCGAACTCAGCAAACCGGCTAGCAACCTCCGACCCAACCGAGGAAAAGGTCTGGTGGGGCTAACCCCCCCCCCATCCCACCCTCCTGTGAGTGTCAATTTACCCCCAGGCTCTGTTTCCGCTGGTCGATAATACCATACCATATCTCCTACAGCTAAAAGACTACCGGGACGAATAGCCTAACTCTGGTTCTTCTAATCGGAAAAGTTGAGGTTGACGAGTTACCTGGAGCACGCGCCGTGCGTGCGTGCGTGCGTGGGTAAGTAAGCATCGACTTGGGCTGGTTCACATATAGCGTCCTCTAATGATCTAGGCTTATCCTATATAGGAACTTCAGAGACGAGCGTGTTTGGCGATCATTGGGCTTAGGGTTGTTATCTCGGAGGACTTTCTCACTTTCTTGCTTATTGGCTTTGTTCCTTAAGGATTTCAGGACTTCAGGACCTGCGTTGTGTTAGCTGTTGTTCCAACGATGTAACCTGCGCTGTTGTTCCGGAGGGCTCCAATAGTTGTGGAGGTAGAGAACGCGGGAATTCATATGATAGCTCGCTACTTTTTAGACTATTGTGTTGACGGAATGATACTATAACATATCGGCCCTAGAACCGGGTCAACCAGCAGTGTATGGATTTTCGCACGAGAGTTTTGTTTAATCCTCATCCCAAGACCTCCAAAGCGGTCAAGCCTCTGAATTTGGCTCGAAAAAATGGGGGGGCAAAAAAAAAAAAAAAGGCAACTCTAGCATACTGGGCATTCAGGAGAGTCGACTGGTCTTTAGAACTTTCACTTCCCGAGTGTTTTCCTAAGAGATCAATTGAGCTTTCCAGGCTATGTATTTTTGGTGGGTTTTGGTTGGTTGTTTGACCCAGGAGCTGTTCTGCATCTGGGATATAATTTAATTAACCAAATATCGAGAGTGATGCAACGGGGCGTCACAATACTTTACTACCAAAATGACAACCGAAAAACATTTAAAAATCAAACAAATACATAATCCTAATTAATACCTTGTATCATATACTGGGAGTTTTTTGTTGCGGTAAAGGTATTGGGGATAGGGAGTGAGGGGGAGGGGTTGAGAAGTTGCCCGTGGTTGATCGTTGTGGGACCAAATGTTCGGTCAAATTATGCTAACCCACAATAGTGCTATAAAGGACCTTTTGTTAGTGTGACACGATTGACACTCCAAGCAAAATCTAGCGGGTTTCGACCTTCAGGGTGTCCAAAGCTCTTTCTCGGATATCGTACTCAAACCTTCTCGCCAGATTGCCCATAGCATTGGTCGTTCAGTTGAAGGAAAACGAAACAATCCTAAACCCACCCAAATCCCATCAAAGTCAGAGGACGCTACTCGTAAATGCCATGGGGGGTTGCTCTCCGGGGTGAAGCTTTTTATCTTGCATGCCATTTCTACTTAGGCTATTTGGATACGACGGTTCCGTTCCATGGCCCCATACAGATTGACCCTTTCCTTCCATTTAGTCTACCAATCGTTCTTACAGCAGAAACAGTCGCAAAACGAAACGGAACCATGATTTCCAAACGGAGCCTAACCTATCGCAGTCATTGGCAGCCGCTAATCTATTGTACTCGTACGAGCAGTGTACGAGTACGGTACCCTACAAGCAGGAGTGACATCAGGGCTCAACCTTGTACGAGTAGAATAGCAGGAGCCCAGTTCCGAGGGGACGGGAGCCCAGAAGCCACTTACCGATATCATACCCTATGATATCATGAAGCAAAGACCTGCCGCCATCCGCAACGAACTCTACTTTACTCGTAAACCCTCCCACAAGCTCTCCATTGAATAATCAACCGAGCAACCAACCAACTGTTACCGGTATCATACGGCATCTATCCTCCCCCAAGATAGTTTCACACAACTCTCCTTGCAACACAATCATGGAGTCCACGACTCAAGCACTTTCTGAAATTTTTCCACCGACACCATTGTTCACGGAAAAAGACCTCCCGGATCTTCTCTCCAAGGTCTACATCGTCACCGGGGGAGCCTCCGGCGTCGGCAAAGAGCTCTGCAAGGTGAATGCGTACCACCCCTCTATCCCCGGGATTTCCATTGACCCTTGAGTACTATAGATACTCTACGACAAGTCTGCTACCGTCTATCTTGCCGGGCGCAGTCAACAAAATGCTGAAAATGCTATCTCTTGGATCAAATCCGAAGTCGCCAACACAAGCGGAAGACTCGAGTTCTTGAATTTGGATTTGAACGATCTGTCTACTATCAAGCGCTCTGCGCAAGACTTCCTCGCGAAGGAGAATCGCTTAGATGTTGTTTGGCATAACGCTGGTGTTATGATGCCGCCGAGCGGGTCCAAGACCAAACAAGGTTATGAATTGCAACTCGGAACAAACGTGATAGCTCCGTGGCTATTCCAGAGTTTTCTTACTCCGTTGATGCAGCGGACGGCCGCTCTACCGGATACGCTAAAGGATAGCGTTCGTGTTATTTGGGTAAATATAATTCATTCAGTTCACTGCTTTGTAATCAATTGACAGTTAATGGCAGGTGTCGTCTGGGGCAAATAATGCTTCTCCTACCCCTGGAGGGATCAACTGGCCCGACATCAACTTCGAAAATGTCGGCTGGGGCATCCCTAGGCTATTCACTCTGAAATTTGAAATATACGGTCAGAGTAAAGCGGCGAACATCATTTTAGGAGCCGAGGCAGTTAAAAGATGGAGCGGATCAGGAATCCTCTCCGTCTCTCTTAATCCGGGAAATTTGAGAACAGCTCTAACGAGGCATGTCGCTGGGAGATTCCTAACCTCGATAATTGTATAACCCCCTTCTTATCCCCACCTACCTCCCACCCGCTAAACAGCGAACCCATAGAACTTAGCGCTCTACCCGCCGTACTACGGTGCCTTGACAGAGCTTTTCGCTGGCCTATCTCCACAAGTCGACGAGTCGCGTAACGGTTCACATGTCATCCCCTGGGGTAGATTCGGCAATCCGAGAAGTGATATTGTGCGTGGCTACGGTGAGAATGGCCCGAAATTGTGGGATTGGATAGAGAGCGAATGCAGGGAATTCATGTAAAGGACTTGTAAGCTCTTTCTCATTCTTAACTAGCATCGCTCCAATATATATCGCACCATTCCTCCTCATTTATTGTTTGACATTGAACCGCCTGACGCGAGAGTGGATTCTCTTGTGAGCCGATTCCCTCGAATACCATAAAAACTCGCTTTGGCGAGCCTTCCTATGATAGACCAAAACGTTTGTGGAAGAGAATCGGGGGTAGCTTGTTTGGCCCACCATCAAATTCGGATAATTCGCTAGGCAGCTTGCTGTCTGGGTCATTGACGGTTGGAAGCCTGTGGTCGTGCAATATAAATGTTTAAGCTGTGAAGATTTTACACGGGCAAATGGTTTAGGGGTATAATATCTCATTCGCATGGTGTGACTTGAGATGGTCCTGGGTTCGATTCCCAGTTTGTCCACACTTTTTTGTTTTGATTGCTCGCACAGCTCGTACTTTCGGTCAATACGAGTAGATCATCTTGTTTCCAGCCTACAAGCATGTTCTCGTTTTAGAAAAGGAACAAAGCACTCACGCCGTCCGACTGAAGCCTTGCCTTTTCGCTGACGGTGACTCACCAACTTCAATCCGGCATCATGAGTCAAGTCTCCAGCAAAAGCGCATTTAAAGCTTCACTCGAGTGATTTATGGTGACAAATTCACGTGTTGCCAAGAATTGCGGTAGAAGCCCTGGACATTCCGACGTGTTCCCCGAGTTATTAACGAATGCATGAGCACACCCCTCTGCTCGCTAGATAAGCATTGCACAAGCTGCTGAAATGAATTGAATATTTTATTTGGTCTGTCTGCGCATACTTTGATTCATCTCACGGGCAGAGGAAGGGAGGCCCGTACTCCAGTCGCCTTAAGATCCTCCAAAATCCAACTTGCCGTTCTTGCCTGTGCCCCTCCACCCTTCACCCATCAACGGCTTCACGATACCCGATAATAGACTAATTTCATCCTCTCCTCAGGCGTTCGCTCGCTCGTGTGTCGTGGTTGTGTGTGTGCTTGCTGGAATCTGGGGTTGGGTGTCGTTCGTTCTCTCACCTTTTCCTGTTCCTGGAGTTCATCGAGTTAGGGGTTCAATCTAGGCTACGGGCTACAAGGCTACAGATAGATACCGATATCGACGGTCCTCTCTTTTTTTTTCTTACAAGGCACGGTTTCCCCTCACAGTTTGCCCCCTCAATTCGCGACTGCTGCATCTCCACCTCCATAGGGAGCAGTTGGTCCGGCCTTTGCCCCCTCGGTCATTTTGATTGAGGCTCAACCGTTTGTGTTGAACCACTCGTTAACTCCTACGTACGCATCTCCCCTCCTCCAACTAGACAGGCTCATCTTCGCCAAATTTCCCATCTATCCATCATGACCACCACCCCGCCACCGCTCCTCAGCCCCTCGCCCCCTCCCCCACTGCCCGACAGCTTGTGCCCCGACGATCCCGAGGAGGTGACCACCCCAACCTCGAATCTACCTCCACCCCCCCTCCCCTCTCCACCTCCAAGGCAGCCGTCCCCTGTTCGTCACCACCACTCTGGCCCAGCTCCAGCAGCTGTCGGTAACTTTGGATCACCTCCACCGAACCCCCCTCCCCCTCCCCAATCGCTCGCTTACCAGCAGAATGGAGCCGGGACTACGCCGACTCAGGCACACTACGGAAGTGGAGGAGCGGTGGACCTGGGCAAACGGAATAGTGTGGTGATTAAGGTTGGAATGGTGGGAGATGCTCAGATTGGGAAGACTTCACTTATGGTGAAGTATGTGGAAGGGAGCTTTGACGAGGATTACATCCAGACTCTTGGTATGACTTCCCCCTCTCTTAGGTACCATGCTCACGGTGGTGGTGATACTTGGTAGTGATTATGTGCTGATTGTTGGCTATAGGAGTGAATTTCATGGAGAAAACCATATCTATCCGTAACACGGAGATCACGTTTTCCATCTGGGATTTGGGCGGTCAGCGAGAGTTTGTCAATATGCTGCCGTTGGTGTGCAATGATGCTGTGGCGATATTATTTATGTTCGACCTTACCCGGAAGAGTACTTTAAATAGTATCAAGGAATGGTATCGCCAGGCTAGGGGGTTCAACAAGGTGCTTGTGTCTTCTAATTTGGGCATGAGTTGGAGCTGACAAGGTTTCTGGGTATAGACTGCAATCCCGTTCTTGGTGGGTACTAAGTACGACCACTTTGTCAACTTTCCGCGAGAAGACCAGGAGGAGATCTCCAAGCAGGTATGAGATACCAGGCTCGTGGGTCTGGCTTCGTGTTAACATATCACAGGCAAGGAAGTTTGCTCGCGCAATGAAGGCTTCTTTAATTTTCTCCAGTACGAGTCACAGTATCAATGTTCAGAAGGTTGTACACACATTCCATTTCACCTTATCCAACCACCCTAGCTAACATCTATACTATCATAGATCTTCAAAATCGTTCTATCCAAAGCTTTCGATCTCAAATGCACTATACCAGAAATTGAGCATGTTGGTGAACCGCTTCTGTTGTACCAAGACGTGTAGCCTTTTTTCCTCCCTTCTCGCCGTTTCAGAATAAATCGCATTTTTTTTTAAAACTCGTGCTTTCATTTTTGTGCTGGGTGTATCGGGCTGGGGGGCACGGTCGGCGGAGTGGGACTATTATTTTTACCCCTGGCTTTTCTCCGTTTTTCCCCTTCAAACTTCATTGGTTTCATCTACGGTGGTAGGTTAGGTTAGGCTAGCGGGTGTCGGCGGGTGGATGAAGGTGCGGGTTGTCTGAAATATTACATTTTCTAGTATCGTAGCTAAATGTTGCCGTTCGTTCTTTTCTTTTTTCCCCCTTTTATGTTTCTTTTCGCTCCTGAATTCATGGTGGTGGGATACCTTTCTTTTGTATTGGTTGGCTTTTACTTGAGTAATGCATTGGCGTGAGGTGGTGCTAGGGAGGTGGGTGGAGAGTGAGAAGAGGTGAGGAGATGGAATAAGGGAGATGATTACCTAGTTCACTGATAGGCATGGAATAAATTGGTTCATAGCATGTCACTTCACGACCAAATCTGGAAATACTTTCTTCAAGTCTGAGCTTGTGAGGTCGGTGATACCTTGCCAGCATTCGATGATGGAGGTTGCTATAAAAGTGCATGCCGTAAGGGAGCCTCTGGCATGGCCGTGCTGTAGAATTACTCTAATTAAGATAGCTGATGCTCGGGTCAATAATTCAGATCATTATCACTTTCCCCACAAGCAATCTAGCAAGGATGTGGCCGCCTCTCTCTCTGGCAGCCAAGGCATCCGCTTCGTCGCCGGCGTACAGCACGTCCTATGATATATTGTATTAGAGAACTTCCACCAAAAAAATAGGCTGGTGTCGGAGGCCTGGAGATCGGCGTAAGGGTTCAAGCTATAGCTCTGACTATGGTGAATCCCGTAGTTCATTAACTTCTGATCTGCGGTATGGCATGAATTACCGTGGGTCTAATATCCCCTTCACTGCGATCCCGTATTCTTGCGTGCTTCTGTTTTTGGATTACCGGCATACTTATGCGAGTTTTGCTGCGTAGAGGGGCTTGTGTGGATGTGGGGTGGTTCTGGGGAGGGTGGAATATCAAGCCATCATGGGTTGTGCTGTGTGTGTGGGGGGGGGGCTCTGATTGGCAGGCTAGGACATACTGCAGGTATCATGGGTCTGATTGAGCATTGCTGTTCCTTGATGTGTGGTTCTCTGGGTGGGTACGGGTTGTTTGGTGCTGGGTGGTGATGTTGAGTAAAGTTATGATAACTTCCTTGGAATAGGCCTTTCTTGAGGTGAGGGGGTCTGCGGTGATGGGAGCTTGGGCTCCGAAGGGGATATCTTCTTAGGGTGTGTAAGGATTTTGGGAGCCTTATCATACCTCTTATGGTACGATAACTTATTCTTGGTGGAAATGCTATCACTCTTCAATGACTGCGGTCCTCACTTGTTAGTAGGGCACCTGTATTGAGAAATTAGATGATCCGACATGGTATGATATGGGGGACTGGACACCTGAGGGCGCACAATTGTGCAAAGCTTATCCCTATCCAGGGGGTAATTTGGTTCTGGGGGCTAGAATATCATTAAATTTACGGCCTTCGGACCTCTTAATTATAGAATGTTTTGGTGTAACTGAAATCATGAGCTATCATTTCAGTAGCCCTGAGGTATGGCTTCCAGTAGCACCCACCTAGGTGCTGGCGTTTTATACAGCATCCCAACTTATAATCGAATACCAATTACTTCACTCTAGATGGCTTTTTCCGGTAATTTGCAGTACAATACTAATTTTTATTAACGACCCTTACTGCATGCATGATTTGCCTCCACAGCGTATCACTTCCCGCCTTGAAACCATGATTCTTCCCTCAGCGCAAGTTCTCCCCTAAATACCGGTACTGGGTGAGAAAACGATATCAGAACATCCCTTTCAAGTGCTATCGATAACACCTCGCCATCACTTTACTCGTACTGTAGAAGTGAATCAAGCTCCTCATGGTCTAGACTACCTGCCACCCACTAAAAAGTCTCTGTCTCACTTCGGTGATCCCTGCGACAGGAAGTCCCTCAAAGAACCAATCCCAAACCCCTCTCACCCCCCACACCGAATACAAGCCTTTTGCCCCAGCCAAATTGCCCCAGCCAAATCTTTTCACCATCATCGCCACCTTCGTCCAGCTCGAACCATCTTCGGAAACAAACGAACTACCACCGCCAAAAATCTAACCCCTAGGTCACCTTCACACCCGGTCACTGGACCGACAGCAAAATAATTATTCGGGGATAGGAGACAGTAAAAACCCATGTATATCAAACTCCCACAATAAAGACCACACCAGAGGCAGCAGTCATGCCGCGACAAAACTGGCGAGCAACCACTCCTCCAATCGCCAAGGCCACCGCGACCCAAACCTGCGTACCATATACACTTTCAGGAGGATGGACAATCTCTCTCTCCCCATCATCCACAATCACCCTTGCCTCCGATGCAACGGTAACGCCGGACTGCTACACGAGCACGCACCCGCCGTCCTCGACCGCGACCTCTGGGGACATAGCGTCAGCCGACTCGCTCGCGGCCAGCGAACTCCGGGACCCATTCTATGCTTCTACCATCCCCATGGCGTACTCCATATCTGCGACTACGACGCTGGCGTACGTACTGTTGTTTCTGCTGTTCTTACCGAGCCCCCCGAATTCGAGACCTTGGCTGCAGAAGGTTGCTACTCTCACGGTGGTTATTTGCTTGACTACTGCTTTTGCGGAGACGACGACGGTACTGGAGCAAGAGTACTCCCTTCGCGGGTCCAGCTTATACAGCATGACCAACGAAGCTCGCCAAGTCCGCCGCCAGGTCGTCGGCGGAACATTCATTCGGATAGGGAGAATAATCTCGGACCTCTTTCTTTGGTTGGCACAAGTGCAAACGCTAATCCGGCTCTTTCCTCGCGAGCGCGAAAAAGTGATTATTAAATGGGCGGGTTTCGGACTCATCCTTCTGGACACTATATTCTCCATCTTACAAACCTTCGTTTCCCCTCTGTCTTCAGACCCAGATTCGTTCCTCGATGCAATCCCTGCTCTATCATATCTTTTCCAGATCGCCTTGTCACTGCTATATGCTTCGTGTGTGCTTTATTACTCATTCGCAAAGAGGAGGTATAGTTACTTCTACCCCCCCTTATTTTCGAGGTCCCCGCCGGGGAGTAGGAGGTATGGTGGTAGAAGTATCATCCTGGTTGCGATTCTGAGTATCGCGAGTGTGCTCACGCCGATCGTGTTTTTTGTCCTGGATATCGCGCAGAAGGACCTCGCGGGGTGGGGGGATTACGTCCGTTGGGTTGGAGCGGCAAGTGCTAGCGCGGTAGTCTGGGAATGGGTGGATAGAATTGAAGAGCTCGAAAGGGAAGAATGCAAGGGTGGGGTTCTAGGAAGGGAAATCTTCGACGAAGACGAGGACGAGGACGGATTTCAAGGTGACCACCGACGTCGCCAGCATTTCGGCCATGGCGGCGGCAACAACGGGGGAGATGGAGGGCTAAGCCGAGAAACAACTGTAACTAGCGAGAGCACAAACTACGCCATCAACGCTCGCAGCATCGACCCCCCACTGAATAGACTAAACACTCCTTCTAGCTCATACACCGCCCGGGAACGAATCGTCCGTTCCAATAGCACCGCTTCCATCCATCACCTCTCCACCGCTTCACCTACCCCGCCTCCCCAGGCGGCAAAGTCTTCATCGTCACCGCACACAATAGAAGAAACCCAAGAAGCTGCCGACACCGACCACCGAACACACAACGTTTCCACCATGAATACCACTGTTTCCTCCTCCTCCCGCATACAGTTCTCCTCACAGCCCCAAACGGACTCTGCACCCCCGCCGCCGCTTCCTCTGTCAGTCACACCGTCAATGCAAGAAACGCCATCGAACGAATGGGGTTTCCGACGCAAAAAGCGGAAAGAGGTCAACCCCCCACTACCCGTCGCGTTCATTCCTGCGCCGCGGCGCGGGAGACGCGGGAGTTGGGGGGCTGTGGAAAGGGCGAGGAACGAAGCCATAGGGAGGGGAGACGAGGGGTAGCTGGTATTGCATTGCATACTCATTCGGGAGGTTTTTTATGTATAGTTATTTTATTTTATCCCACCTTCGTGTTTGTGGGGCGGAGCGGATTAGAGTGGGCGGCTTGGGTGTACGTGGTTATGGGCATAAGCGGAGTTTTTTTTGCGGTTTGGATATC